TTGCTCTGTCACTAGAGCCCCTTGCACAAGCTGTCAGACAAAGTATGACTATCTCTCCAATTGCAATTCATGCGTCTACACACTTTATCTCACGTCATGCAGATGACATTCTTCTGTTCCTATCCAATGTTGGGTCCTCTCTCTCTCATGTACTGGGGTTGTTTGATGAGTTTAAAGAGCTGGCAGGATACAAGATAAACTGGACCGAATCTGTGTTACTTACTTTAAATGAAGCAGCTAAGAATGCTCAGTTACCCTCTTTGGAACCAATACATTTACATTTACGTCATTTAGCAGACGCTCTTATCCAGAGCGACTTACAGTTAGTGAGTGCATACATTTTCATACTGGCCCCCCATGGGAAACGAACCCACAACCCTGGCGTTGCAAGCACCAAGCTCTACCAACTGAGCTACAGGGGACTAAGCACCAGCCTTACTTATTTGGAGGTTAAAATACATCCTACTTTGCAGAAAATTGTTAGAGACAACTTCTGTGGCCAGTTGCAAAGAATTAAGAAGGATTTGCAGAGGTGGTTTAATCTAACTATTGTGTACAGTGCAGAGTTACCACAGTAAAAATGAATATCTTGCCCCGGCTTAACTTTTTATGATCCCTTTATCGCCACCTCCAACGTTTATCTCTAACTTTATATGGAGTGGAAAACAGGCTAGGATCAAACTCACTACTTTGCAGCGTGCTAAATGCACAGGAGGATTAGCTGTCCCGAATCTCAATTTCTATTATTGGGCTTTTCAAATAAGAGCATTACGAGTGTGAATGGACCGTCAAGCAGTTGTACCTTGGAGAGCTATTGAATCTGATCTGGTTAAACCGCATTGACTAGAACAGTTTGTATTTGCTGGGGTTGGTAGAAAACATCTTAGTTTTAGGTTTGGTATCATAGTTCTGAACTCCTTGAATATATATGGAAAGGTCATAGGTCATCAGACAAAATTCCATCAGTTATCTCTAATATGGAACAATTTCCATTTAATGACAGGTGGACATCCTTTCACACAGGCCTCTTGTGTTTATGTTTTGAAGGATCACATTTATTTCAAATCAAATCAAATGTATTTATAAAGCCCTTTACAGTTGAAGTCGAAAGTTTACATACACATAGGTTGGAGTCATTAAAACTCGTTTTTCAACCACTCCACAAATTTCTTGTTAACAAATGTTGGTTTGATAAGTCGGTTAGGACATCTACTTTGTGTATGACACAAGTAATTTTTCCAACAATTGTTTACAGACAGATTATTTCACTTATAATTCACTGTATCACAATTCCAGTGGGTCAGAAGTTTCCATACACTAAGTTGACTGTGCCTTTAAACAGCTTGGAAAATTCCAGAAAATAATGTCATGGCTTTATAAGCTTCTGATAGGCTAAATGACATCATTTGAGTCAATTGGAGGTGTACCTGTGGATGTATTTCAAGGCCTACCTTCAAACTCAGTGCCTCTATGCTTGACATCATGGGAAAATCAAAATAAATCAGCCAAGACCTCTGAAAAACAATTGTAGACCTCCACAAGTCTGGTTCATCCTTGGGAGCAATTTCCAAATGCTTGAAGGTACCATGTTCATCTGTACAAACAATAGTACGCAAGTGTAAACATCATGGGACCACGCAGCCGTCATACCGCTCAGGAAGGAGACGCATTCTGTCTCTAGAGATGTATGTACTTTGGTGCGGAAAGTGCCAATCAATCCTGAACAACAGCAAAGGACCTTGTGAAGATGCTGAAGGAAATAGGTACAAAAGTATCTATATCCACAGTAAAACGAGTCCTATATCGACATAACCTGAAAGGCCACTCAGCAAGGAAGAAGCCACTGTTCCAAAACCGCCATAAAAAAGCCAGACTACGGTTTGCAACTGCACATGGGGAAAAGATCGTACTCTTTGGAGAAATGTCCTCTGGTCTGATGAAACAAAAATAGAACTGTTTGGCCATAATGACCATCGTTATGTTTGGAGGAAAAAGGGGGTACTTGCAAGCCGAAGAACACATTTACATTACATTTTAGTCATTTTGCAGACGCTCTTACCAGAGCGACTTACAGTTAGTGAGTGCATACCATCCCAACCGTGAAGCACGGGGTGGCAGCATCATGTTGTGGGGGTGCTTTGCTGCAGGAGGGACTGGTGCACTTCACAAAATAGATGGCATCATGAGGAAGGACAATTATGTGGGTATATTGAAGCAACATCTCAAGACATCAGTCAGGAAGTTAAAGCTTGGTCACAAATGGGTCTTCCAAATGGACAATGACCCCAAGCATACTTCCAAAGTTGTGACAAAATGGCTTAAGAACAACAAAGTCAAGGTATTGGAGTGGCCATCACAAAGCCCTGACCTCAATCCTATAGAACATTTGTGGGCAGAACTGAAAAAGCGTGTGCGAGCAAGGAGGGCTACAAACCTGACTCAGTTACACCAGCTCTGTCAGGAGAAACGGGCCAAAATTCACCCAACTTATTGTGGGAAGCTTGTGCAAGGCTACCCGAAACGTTTGACCCAAGTTAAACAATTTAAAGGCAATGCTACCAAATACTAATTGAGTGTATGTAAACTTCTGACCCACTGGGAATGTGATGAAAGAAATAAAAGCTGAAATAAATCACTCTCTACTATTATTCTAACATTTCACATTTTTAAAATATAGTGGTGAACCTAACTGACGTAAGACAGGGACTTTTTACTAGGATAAAATGTCAGGAATTGTGAAAAACTGAGTTTAAATGTATTTGGCTAAGGTGTATGTAAACTTCCGACTTCCACTGTATATATCAGCAGATGTCACAAAGTGCTTATACAGAAACCCAGCCTAAAACGCCAAACAGCAAGCAATGCAGATGTAGAAACAGATGTATTTATAGTGAGATTGGCTTGCGCAGATTTCAGGATATTGAAGATGACTATTCCCTGCCAGGATCCTCATACTATCTGTATCTGCAGTTAAGTTCAGCAATGAAGGCTTATGGTGTACCCTGGAATTTGCCCTTGCCACCCAATGGCAGGCTGGATAGGTCCAGATAGGAGTTCTAGAGGGCTAGTAGCAGAGATATACGACACACTTACAGGGAAGACTTATAAGAAATTACCAATGGAGGTTGTATGGGAGACAGAGTTGGAGAGGATGGAATTAACCCCTGATTGGGATAGGATATGGTCAAATCTGAGCGAGGCATCTAAGAATCTTAGCCATCAGCTCATTCACCTCAAATTGATTCACAGAGAATATGCAACTCCATATAAATGTTTTCTGATTAAAATAATACATCCAATCTGCACACACTGTACAAACAATGCTGTAGGTACTGTGATGCATATGTTCTGGGATTGTCCACATTTTGGAGTGACATATGCTCAGTGCTGTCAAGAATGATGAGGGTTAACCTTATCTCAGATCCTTGCCTGTGCCTGCTGTGCCTGCTGACTGATGATTCATCTTTATCTTTGACACTTATTCAACATAGAATTCTACTAGCTGGATTTACAGCAGCAAAGAAAACTATTGTGCAGTTATGGTGGAATTCGGGGCTGGCTCCTGAAATGTACTGGATGTTTTTCAGAATATTATTAATTTGGAATGCACAACATCAAAACGTAATAGGACGAGGCTGTCCACAGTGCAAACATGGGCAGGGATATCCTCCGCCATGAGGGACCAACTGGTAGGCTGAGTTGCCTCTCTTTTCTTAGCCTTTTTTGTTAATTTCTGACTATCTCTACTATTTGAGAAGTTTGCTACGGGCTGTCGGCAGGAGATGGGTGGGAGGCTTGACCAAATTTGTACATTCAATTGTGTTTTACTTATGTGATTTTTCATGGGCTGGAGCTGCATGTACAGTATAACTCCCAGTATTTTTATCAAGGCCAAGGTAGGAATATCGTATTCATTCTTTTGTTATCCTCAAATTGGCTTACTGTTTATTCTTTGAAGTGGGGAAAAGATCATGCATTACTAGATGATGTCAGCAGACTAGTCCCCGATGTTTTGGAATGCTTCTATTTAGGGGCTGGTTTTAAAGCTCGCGCAGGGGGTTATTTTCTCTCCACAGTCTGTCTTCCTCCCCCAGGGGGGTCATGGGTACTCCATGTATAACATTGTGTGGTGTTGACTGTGTGTTATGTCTGTTCTGTTCTGTCAATGTCATTTTATTTTTGTATAAATTATTATTTGTTGTTGTTGTTGTTGTGTAAACTCAAAACATGTAATCACAAAAACAAAGTAAGAACATTGAGGGAATTATCTGGTCACCCTGATAAAAATATTGTATGCAGTGTGAATTGCGGGGTGGCGAGGGGGGCTCAGCCCTGTCGAATTAGACATGAGCTCCCCTAAATGCAACAAAAGTCTAACTTTGGGGGGGGGGCTCTAATAACCATTCACCTATTTGTTTAAAATGCAATTTTGGACTGATACAGTGGTAAATATGAAAAAATTAAAGCTTCAGCAATTGAAGTCAGTATTTTGATAGGTCAAGGCAGAGTGCACTATTAACAATACTTACTGGAATTGCTGCTCCTGACGTTGTCCAGTGTCTCATTATTTTCTGCGTCATTCCTCATCGCTCCAAAAGCAGGGAAATGCATGGTGGTCTTTGTGGAGTTGGAGGTTGGTGCTTTACCACAAAGTAGGATGTTCAGACTACCAAACGCGTCTGCTCTGAAATCCAGCATATCAGCGGCCTTTAACCACATTGAGTTCTGCAACTTGTTTATCTGCATTGGTGGGGGTGTCATTGGGGGAAGATGCACAATAATATATCAGAACATGACAGTGTAGTACTTAATTTATTTACTTCAAGACGACTAATTGATATGATACAACCCAATATCACGCAATTTCTCAATAGACTTGTCTTCATATTTCCATTACTGTTATTGATTACAATGAGTCATACAAGCCCGGGTTACTGGGCGACACAGGTGTTCTCGACAGAAACTAATACTGAATGGTATTGGATTTCCATGTAGGCCCACTATTCTTTCAGATGGTAAATAACTACCACACCAACCTCATCAATCACGGGTAAGGCATCCTCTGTAGTTTTTCTTACTAATCCAAATGTCTCGGACGGAGTCAAATCCAAAGCCGTAGGTAGCTAAATGAGGGAATAAGAAGTTGATTTAGCAAACATTGTTGATTTATATCCAATACATAATGTGTATTTGTTTGTAACAGGCTCAGTGTTTTAAAGGGTAAGTTCTGTATTTTACAACTTAATGTTAGATGGTTCCTCAATCTGAATTGCACTGTTGCCCCTATCACTCCCATTGATTTTTAGCTAGCGTTGGCTAAAGCTCGCTCATGTTTGTAGTGGCTATTTAAAGAAAACCAAACAATGGATTAAAGTTTATTCTTGCCAGTAGACTACTTTCACGGTGAGAAACCTAAGATTAAGTTATAAATTCTGAACTTCCACTTTAAGCTAACACCTCAGATGTTACCTCAAACACCACAGGTATTTGCAACAAAACTGTCCGACAGAGAGTAGTTCTGCATTTTCTTTTCAGGTGCATGTCTTCAGTTTAAAACAATGGTTGCTTGAGGATATACAACACTATATAAAGTACAGTTACTGTAACAATGGAAAAACAGCCTAGACACTGCATTTTTTCCAACAGTGCCCTCTTTTAAAATTATTGGGTTCATGAGGCCTGTGGTAAGTTTTAGTCCAAGCAATGTCAAAACCAATATCTTCCCCAACAATGTTTTAAGGGGATGTATTTTTATAAAATGGCAGGAATATGATTCATAGCCATACCACATATCTGATGGCTAAAACACAATGGCACAAGGCAGCCCAGCCACTGCACATGTCCTTTAAAACACTATAATGTCCATGTGTCAGGAGTATGCTAACATGAGTCCCTGTTGACCTTCACTGAGAAAAACAATATAGCTCAAATCCATAGAGCGAGAGCGCTAAAGAGAGAAAATGAATCCTAAATCCCCCATTAGTATTTATGAAAAGTATAAGCCACAGATAATTTACAAATTCAAGGAGGTGTCACTAGAATCCCTGTTTATCCCGCAGCCCTTTTTGAACTCTGAGTTAAATTTTACCCTTGGCAGCAATACACAAGGAAGCCGAGACGCGCTGATTGGAAAAACATCGGCATCTCACTCAAGAAATATGGGGTGAAACAGCTTAAAATCACAGCTAAGTAGTCAATGGGCAGAAAGAGAGGTCTTGGACTGTATCGTATTAATGGCTTGATAAGTAGACCCATGGCACAAGGCAATCTCTCAGAGCCATTCGGTAAACTATATGATGTTTCGCTCTTTATTCTCCACATTATCTGTCATTTCACAGCTGTGTTTCCAAGGGAGGCTAGAGCATGGAATGGTGTTACAAAAATAGAACACTAATTTCATTGTGGACTCAGAAACCACAAAGGTTACCAAGACAGTGACCTTACTAGATGTAATGGGAACTCTAACGGGTACAGTAACTTCAGAAGGAATGCCCCCAAAATAACCTCCTCAGATTTTTGTTGTTTCAGAGTTCATAACATCCATGCAGACCATTATGTGACTGAAAATGAGTTGGGGACAAAAACTAATAGTAATAGCTGTGTAATTTACTGTACAACATAATAAGACTGGTTTTCACTATACATTTACCATGTGATAAGGGCTATATCTCAAGATGTTTCATAATGTGTAGTTGATTCTGTTGATGCTATTGATGTCGTACAGTGCATTCGGAAAATATTTTAGACCCCTTAATGTTTTACATGTTTTTTGTTACGCGACAGCCTTATTCTACATTTGATTAACTATATATTTGTCCTCATCAATCTACACAGAATACCCCATAATGACAAATACATGTTTGCAAATGTATTAAAAATAATAAACTGACATTTAGTATTGAGACTCTTTACTCAGTACTTTGTTGAAGCACCTTTGGCAGCGATTACAGCTTTGAGTCTTCTTGGGTATGACACTACAAGCTTGGCACACCTGTATTTGGGGAGTTTCTCCCATTCTTCTCTGCAGATCCTCTCAATCTCTGTCAGGTTGGATGGGGAGCGTCGCAGCACAGCTATTTTCAGGTCTCTCCAGAGATGTTCGATTGGGTTCAAGTCAGGGATCTGGCTGGCCACTCAATGACATTCAGAGACTTGTACAGAAGCAACTCCTGCATTGTCTTGGCTGTGTGCTTAGGGTCGTTGTCCTGTTGGAAGGTGAACCTTCGCCCCAGTCTGAGCACTCTGGAGCAGGTTTTCATCAAGGGTCTCTCTGTACTTTGCTCAGTTTCTCTCGTTCCTGACTAGTCTCCCAGTCCCTACCGCTGTAAAACATCCCCACAGCATAATGCTGCCACCACCATCATTGAGATTCTTCATACCCAAGAAGACTCAAGGCTGTAATCGCAAAATGTGGAAACATTTCTAAAAACCTGTTTTTGCTTTGTCATTATGGGGTATTGTGTGTAAATTGACGAGGGGAAAATGCAATTTAATCAATTTTAGAATAAGGCTGTAACGTAACAAAATGTGTAAAAAGTCAAGGGGTCTGAATACTTTCCGAATGCTCTGTATATTGCACTGGTTCTACCAGCCATCAGTCCTATCAGGACTTTGTGTTCTTATGTATGGCTGTATTGTCCCCTGTAGCTATGCGTCCAATGCTGATGACAAATCTAATTTCCCCTCTGGGTATCAATTACATTCATTAAATTAAATTATTCTATGTTTAAAACACACTATCCAACCACCTTGTTTTGCTAAAATATCCACGTTGCAAAAGTCATATCGCTAAGCTACTGTAATGTGCACCTGGACACTTGTATGACAAGAAGATAGCACCAGTTACTTGCTGTCCAGCGCTCCCTATAACCTCACCATGTTGTGCTCTGTGCTCCCTTCAAAAAAATATATTAAGTCTCAACACAACTAAATCACCACTATACCACTCAATGCTGTCTCGATAAACCCAGACTATTTTCTTCTTTCTAAAGGCCCTTTCTTTATGTATTTATTATCACCACTTTTCTCCAACTCCAAGCTCTCAGAGTGTGAAAGAGTATTTTTTTCCCCTCCATTTTGCTCAGGGGGGCCAGATGACTTTTTTTTGCCATATCTTGTCTGTCGTTTTCTTCGATGACTGAAAATGCCTCCAAGCTTAAGTTGTTCAAATGGCTTTTTTTCCCCTCCTTGAACTTCTTGCCTCATCACTTATTCATTGCTTTTGCTGTCCCATACATTTTCTCTCAAAGATAAACTGGGAAGGAGAGTGCACTCTTTTGTCGCCTCTACTGGAAGAAAGGTTTCAATGAAATCCAGCAAATATCAATGCTAAATAAATCAAATTGTTTTTACTTTACAACAGTCAGTGGAGACCAAGAGAGGAGAAACATAGAGAACAAACTTCAATTAAAGAGGTTGTACAGACATTTTGCCTCTGGTGCTCTTGAGCTAAAAGGGGTCCCCTAAATGGCCAGAAATACTGGCCAGAAATGACCTAATTTCCCCACGCCCATGAGCAAAGCATATTGTTAGCCAAAAACGAAGGATTGTGTGGTTCCTTGAGTTAAGTGACTAAACATCCATAAAGCATATTTAATGAAGCACCAAGCTCAGCTTCTCAGGTTTAGGAAAAATCTCTCTCACCTTGGGTTTTATTCAAACATACTTTGCCCCCACAGCCATCCAAACCATTATATCATCATGCCAACATAATATATACGTTTCTAATTTTGTCAGAAAGTGGTTTTCATTGCAAGTTAAAGCGTACTGTTAGTTAACTAGCTAACGTTGGCTGGCTGGCTCGCTAGCGAACATTATGTGTATGATCTGTGTAGTAATATTATCTCAGAAAGTAATTTGCATTGCTGGTTATAGCCTGATGTTAGCTAGCTAACTAACATTGAACCTAGTTGGTTAGCTTTAGCTAGCAATGACAATCTGTTTATATTTCTACCTGGAGTTCTATTTGTGTACTTTACACACACCAAGCACCCTTGTTAGTGAGGAGCGTACAGCCCGGCACACATAATTATCTTCTTCCTCCTCATCTGATATCAGTTGGAACATGGCAGGGCATCAATGGGAAACATCTGAAGGGGCCACTCATAGATCACACTTATCGCTACCACAGCTGCATTTCACCCAAACACAAACGTGCCAGGTAGAGCAGTGCTTCTCAATCAATTCCTGGGGTACCCCCAAGGTGTGACATTTGTGTTTTAGCTCAGCGCTAACACACATGATTTGGGGATTAGTTGAACCAAGTGTGTTAGTGCTGGGCTAGAACAAAGATGTGCACCCCTAGGAATAGATTGAGAAATATTGACTTATTGTAAATTCTCTGCAAAGTCATATAGTATGTCTCTCCTGAATCGATTAGAACAGTCATGAAATGATGTCCTTGCAATGCATTATGTTCAATCATATGGGGAAGTAGGACGCCTAGAGATTGGAGAGGCAGACCTGAAGCCAGAAGGTTGTCAGTTCGAATCTAGTGTTAGGCACTAAAAGAAGTGGGAGGATGCTAGACTCTGATCCCAACTACAATCTCCAACCGTTGTGCCATCGAACAAGGCATTTCAAAACTAGCTCTAGCGCCACTGCACTGCGACTCAAAAGTGTGTTTGTGTCTTGTGGGGGAGAGGGGGTTGGCAGAAGATTCATTTTGGATTTAAGAGTTGTATTATGTTTGTTAAAGATGCACTATGCAGAAATCGCTCCGCCATTTCCTGGTTGCTAAAATTCTAATAGTTCACCTAATTTTAGTTTATGTGACAAAACAAGTGTAGAGAATCATTGTACCATCTAAACTGAAATATATTTTCCATAACCACAAATATTGTATTTTCAGCTGTTTGAAGATGGTGTACAAAAGCAAAAGACACAAAAGCGAAACTTAAGAACAGGAAGCATAGAAATAGCGCACATAGAACAGATCTACAGTTTCTTAGACTTGCTTTCAATAAGAATGACATATCTATAACATATATTTATGTGAATTTGTTCGGCTCGCCCAAAAAGTTAAATCTTCCAGCTTTAAGAGTGCATTGTTGTTTCCAGACCACTCTGCAGTACTATGATGGGTAAAAAAATATTGTGTGGTATTATGCTTACTCACCCCATTCAGGCGAACATTTGAGGTAATCAGACTGTCGGCTACCGTCATTGGCACGGACAAGTTCTCCCTCAGATATGTGGTGAACATTTCATTGTCATTCAGGATACTTCTCAGAGGAATGGGCTGACCTTAAACATGAAGGGGGAGAACAAGTAATGTGCTTTCACTCGGGCAGAATTAGAATGGATCTGGGATGAAAACTATTTTTGAGGGAGCTGTGTCAGTTTGTTTGATAGACGGCATGTAATACAGTATACTCCATAGACGTGGCAAACATCAAAGATGGGGTGAATGTGATGTTCCTTACACATTTGATGTTGACAGCATCCAACTGATACATTTAAGTGTAGCATTTCCCAAAGTGCTTTGCTTTGCTTTTTTTTGTTTAACATCACTTTGGGAGGCATTTGGTCATAAAGTACTGATGACTCAGACTTGAAATTGTATTGTATTCCACAGGTGAATGTTGCAATAAAATGTGGATAAGAGCGAGGGAGGGTCGCCAGTGGAATTGTTTTAGTGGGAGCTGGCACATCGTTGCTAAACATGCATCAGTCAGTTAAGCAGTCATTTTGTACTGATTAGATGCCCACTGATAGTCTTGGTCGAAATGACAACATCAAAACCAATCGACTGTTTAATGTAATCCTCCCCGCTTAGACTGGTGAGAATGTCTGGGTGGAGATCACAAGCCAAAGACAGCCCATTACTACTTCACTCCACAATGTTTATCTCTTAGGCTACATGGTTCGTTGAGTATTCTCAAGAAATCTGCTTTTGAAAAAAACTCATGAGTATCAATATTGGAGAATATGCTGGGAACATTTTGACTTAAGCCACACACATGGCATCGTAATATGGTAGAAAATAAATTATAGTATGTACCTATGACGTTAAATTCATGCTTATAGGAATTCAAGGTGGAGATACTTATCCTGTCACTATACTCTTACTAAAACTACTACTACCTCTGTCATTACCATGTTCAACACCATCAATAAGGTAGGACAACATGACGCTTACAGGTCGAAACAAAAACATGCTCTGGGCTCTGTCTGAACTTGGTTACCGGGCGAGATTGGAGTCCCTACCCCAACACTTTTAATAATCTCAGTTGAGAAGCACAACACAACCACCTTTGCCATTTACGTCCCTTTGATATCCCTCTGCCTCTCCCTTGTGTTATATGACCTTTCGCTATGTCGCCTCAGACAGCGTATCCCATTAATTAAGCCGTGCCTTAGATCTCTGATGGATTTAATCTTGTATATTACAAGACTGTGACCCCAAAATGCAAATACGGTTTTGGGTGCAATGTTTGTGCGAGCCTCAACAATGGCTGGGCCCCCTTTTGCCTATTTGCTAATTAGGTGCCTTGTGAAAATCTGAATATCATCAGGCTAAATGAGCCTAATGCGAAGTAGCAACCTATGAAGATAAACGATCTGCCACTCCACACGGCAAATTAGATCATAAATAATCAGTTGTCATTGTTTTTCGAGTGATCTCAGAGAATGACAAATCCTCCAAACTGTCACCCTCGTGAATGGGCTACTCCAGTGGATAGAGGACCGTGGTCAAATCCATGGCAAAGTGATTGTCAGTCTGGTAAAGTATTATACTGTTCCAATTACTGCTGAGCCATTAGTCAGTGGCTGTAAAAGCTTTATTATTCATGAGATATTCAGGATTTGGCTTAGAACTTAGTTTATTAATATGGTCCTCAGTGTATTGAACAGTACAGGATCAGTTGAGTTGGTGTGCTAAAGTAGATTATCACTGCAATGGGCTCATGATTTTCTAGGGCCCTAAAAAACTGTTTGAACAATTTGAAAACAGTTGAAATACTGTACCTTTTGCATGGTTAGATGTCTGTAGAATCAAAGCCCACTGGTCCACATCATCTGAAAGCATCTGGACCTTGGTTAGGATGGATCTGTTTGCCAGAAGTGACTGTAACTCGATCAACATCCCAGCAATTCTGGTTGGACAGAGGAAGAATTTAAAAAGTCTTAGTCAATGCATGGTTAAATGAAAGATAGCTATAGGCCTACCTCAAATGTGATATAACTCACTTTCTAAAGGAACATCAACGGCCAACTGACTACCAAAACCTACCATTATCAAGGTGAAATAATGTAACTCAAACCAGGATCAATTACAGTAAATTTGGAAATTGTCACTGTAGGTAAATGGCTTGAAAAAGGTTGCCCTTCTACATACATGGAATTGTTGAAGTTGTTGACTTGTCCCGGTGCTTCTCCTGGCGTGGAATGGTTTTCACATGGGTTGTCTATGTTACACATCATGCCTTGAAGCCAAGGCAGCACCCCGGCAGAAGGCATGGCTTTATTTGGATAATGACCTGGAACCAAAAAAAGACACAATCATTTCCTTCCATACATGAGCACCTAAAAGTCCTCATCCTCCACCATCTTTCTGCAGCTTTCTGCAGTGTCCTCAGATGATGGCTTCAATTAGAGAATTGTTTGGTGTGTGTTCATGTTGTGTGTCAGCTGACTTGTGTGTCAGTGTCAGCTGACTCGGCGGCCATCTTGCATACGCCCTCAGCCACTTTAATAGGGTTTTGACTAGATGGTATACAGCTATGGTCAGAAGTTACTTTTCGTAGCCGGTTAGGAGAACTTACGCAGCAGGTTAGGAGAATTAACGTAACAGGTTAGGAGAATTAGGTTAAGGTTAGGAAAAGGGTTAGGCTTAGCTAAAATGCAAAAATTATCCCAGACGCAACTCAAACATGCATATTTTGATGTCACTTTGACATAAACTGTATCCCATCTAGCCATTACCCTTTAATAGTTGGATTTGACATTTCAGGTGAACTCACAACAAGTATGGTGTACATTTTAGGACATCCATACTCCACATGACCAAATGTTCCTACTTCCTACTCATACTTTATGTCAAACGGAGTAGGGGTGTCTGAAAATACATTATAATAATGAGAGTTTGTAGGAAGAGTGATACTGAACAGTGTGTTACAGTCACAGGTACGACATTTGCTGGGCCACGGTGACATTGCTACTTTTACCAGGTGACAAAGTTACAGCAGAAATTGGAGAAAGGAAGAGACACATTTCACGATTAGAAACATTGTGATTGGAGTGCAATAGATTACAGGGGGAGCTATTATATTGCCTTTTATGCACCATTTAGAGTATAATGATTTGTGAGCATCTACAGTTTATCTACAGTTTATTTGTGAAGCATCTATTGAAATTGTAAATACTTTATACATGCATTATAAAGCCTTAATAAGTTGTAGTTTGCTTAAAGTGGGACCGTTCTACTTACATTCGCCCTGGTAAATGGGTTGGGTGGTTGATCTTACCCAGACCAGGATGAAGAACAGAAAGAGAGGCCACAACAACTCCACCACAAGACGCACCTGCATTGAACATGAAGTAGACAGATTACCTCATGTTGTATCATATTATATTATATTATATTATATTACAGTATATTACCTTATGAATCCCATTCTAGTCTCTGTGTTTGAGTTGCTAATGCCTGTTTTCTAGCCCTAAATGGTATGGGTTCAACTCTGACAATTTTCTGTAAGACAAAGCCAGTGTTGCTGAAGAGGAGTTGGGGTCACCTTGTTTGTCGTCACAATAAAATACCTTGTATATTGAAATCGGTATGCCAAATGCATAGACTTCGGCAACAAATGATCTAATATAAATAACATGTCATGCATGTTATGTTATGACATTTACTGCCCACTATATATTTTTTTTCTCCATAGCGTACAAGCGTTTTTTTGGAACCGTGGTTAAACATACATTTACATTTACATTTTAGTCATTTAGCAGACGCTCTTATCCAGAGCGACTTACAGTTAGTGAGTGCATACATTTTCATACTATAGCAAACCAACAATGATCAAATGCTTAAATACATTTGCAGAATGGCTGATCATTTTCTTGCCTTTGTACTTCGATTGTATATTTTAGACCTGCTTTAGCAAAACTGTAAATACAATTGTCATCAATGAATACAACATTCACTGTAAAGTGGTTTGTTCACAGAATATCTGTCACGGTTTCGGCCGAGGCTGCCTCTCTCCCTTGTTCGGGCAGGTTTCGGCGTTCGTTGTCTCCGGAATTCTAGCTGCCACCGTTGTATGTTCCATGTTTCCTGTTTGATTAGTTTTGTCTGTTAGCCACACCTGTCTTGTGTTATGTCTCATTAAGCACCCTATTTAGTTTCCTTGTTGTTAGTGTAGTGTTGTGTGTAATTGTTTTGTGTCAGGTGTTTGTGCGTTACCCGTGTTTCGGTACGCCAGTTACTATTTAGCTTCCTCCTCGGTTGAGGAGAGTTTTTGCGCCCTGTGTTGTGCGCTCGTGTTTGACGCCTGTGTGCGTCTGTTTGGCCTCTGGCCGTTTTGGATTATTTTGCACTCTCTAGTAAAGTCTTGTTGGACTGTACATCTGCTTCTGCGCCTGATTCCACACCACACCATTTCTAACATCGTGACAGAATTACACACCAGACATGGAATCAGCAGGAGCCGAAGCAGCCCCGACGAGACTGGAGGCCCAGGTTCGGGAACAACAGGACCAGATACAGCAGATGGGGACCGCCCTGCAGGAGGTGATCACCACGCTCCGAGGCTGGGGAGCGCCTCCACCACCTCCCTCCCTGCCAGCACCATCGGCCAGTCCGCCCATTCCAGCGCCAGAACCCCGAGGAATCCGACTCTCTCTCCCGAGGGCCTACGACGGAACCGCGGCTGGGTGTCAGGGATTCCTCCTCCAGGTGGAGCTGTACCTGGCCACCGTACACCCGGCACCCTCGGGGCATGAGAGCGTGTCCGCCCTGATCTCCTGCCTGTCCGGGAAGGCGTTGGAATGGGCCAACGCGGAGTGGAGGAAGATCGACGCCGAGACTATCACCTACAACGAGTTCTCCCGCCGCTTCAGGGCGGTGTTTGACCATCCACCAGAGGGGAAAGCGGCGGGGGAGCGTCTGGTCTTCCTCCGGCAGGGGAGGAGGAGTGCCCAAGAATTCGCTCTCGAATTCCGTACTCTAGCGGCAGATGCAGGGTGGAATGAGCAGGCCCTCGTCGATCTATACAGATGTAGCCTACGAGAGGACGTCCGTCGGGAGCTGGCTTGTAGGGACACCAGTCTCTCTTTCGACCAGCTAGTCGACATGTCCATCAGGCTGGATAACCTATTGGCTACCCGCGGACGTCCTGAGGGGGGTCCGTCCATTTCAGCCTCCAGCGCCTCCGAGCCGTGTCCTATGGAGCTCGGGGGCGCTGGCGCTAGAGAGAGGAGGAGTCGGTTGGTTAGGGGGTCCATCCACTACACCAACTGTGGTCGGGGAGGACACACCGCGGCTAGGTGCTGGGGATGGCCTCCTAGGGAGGATGACGACAGGTCCCGCACTGGGGATTCCCTCCAGGTGAGTAGGCGCCCCACTCACCCAGAGCTCACTGTTGCCCATTTTTGTATGCCTGTGCGTTTTCCACAGGTAGCACCTCATTCCCAGCATAAGGCGCTGGTAGATTCAGGCGCGGCTGGGAATTTTATTGATAAAAAGTTTTGTTTAGCGTTAGGGATTCCCCTTATTCCGGTTGATGTTCCTTTCCCCGTTCATGCCCTAGATAGTCGTCTGTTGGGTACGGGCTTAATCAGGGAGGTCACGGCGCCACTTAGGATGTGTGCGCAGGGGGATCATCAGGAGATGATTCAGCTGTTCCTGATTGACTCTCCTGCGTATCCGGTGGTGCTGGGCATGCCCTGGTTGAGTACCCATAACCCAGCTATTTCGTGGCAGGAGAGGGCTCTGATGGAGTGGTCTGCTCAGTGTGTGGGTAGATGTTTGGGCGTTTCCGTAGGGGCTACCTCGGTGGAGAGTCCAAACCAGGTGCCCGCATTGCACGTTCCCCCTGAGTATGGGGATTTGGCTATTGCGTTTAGTAAGGCGAGGGCGACGCGGTTGCCGCCCCATAGGCAGGGAGATTGTGCGATAGACCTCCAGGCAGGAGCTGCGCTCCCACGGAGCCATGTGTATCCTCTGTCTCAGGAGGAGAAGAAAGCTATGGAGATTTACATAGACAAATCTCTGAGACAAGGATACATACGGCCTTCCACTTCCCCTGCGTCCTCGAGTTCCTTTTTTGTGAAGAAAAAGGATGGTGGTTTGTGCCCGTGCATCGATTACCGTGGTCTCAATCAGATTACGGTGAAGTACAGTTATCCACTCCCGCTGATTGCGACCATGACTGAGTCGTTGCATGGGGCGCGTTTCTTCACTAAATTAGATCTCAGGAGCGCGTAGAGCTTGGTGCGCATCAGGGAGGGTGATGAATGGAAGACAGCCTTTAGTACCACCTCGGGCCATTACGAGTATCTGGTCATGCCATACGGGTTGATGAACGCTCCGTCAGTTTTCCAATCATTCGTGGATGAGATCTTCAGGGACATGCAGGGGCAGGGGGTGGTTGTGTACATTGATGACATTCTCGTGTACTCGCCTACCCGTGTCGAGCATGTGGCCCTGGTGCGTAGAGTGTTGCGGAGGCTGGTGGAGCACGACCTGTATGTGAAGGCAGAGAAGTGTCTGTTTTTCCAGGAGTCGGTCTCCTTTTTGGGGTATCAGTTGTCTGCGTCAGGGGTGAAGATGGAGGTAGACCGGGTGTCGGCCGTGCGTAATTGGCAAACACCAACCACTGTGAAGGAGGTGCAGCAGTTTTTGGGGTTTGCAAATTACTACAGGAGGTTTATCCGGGGTTTTGGACAGGTGGCAGCTCCCATCACGTCTCTTTTGAAGGGGGGTCCGGTGCGTCTGCAGTGGTCGGCCGAGGCGGACAGGGCGTTTGGGAGGCTGAAGGACCTGTTTACCTCGGCCCCGGTGCTGGCGCATCCGGATCCCTCTTTGCCGTTCCAGGTAGAGGTGGACGCGTCAGAGGCCGGTTTAGGAGCCGTGCTTTCACAACGGTCTGGCGCGCCACCTAAACTCCGCCCCTGTGCTTTTTATTCTAAGAAGCTCAGTCCGGCGGAGCGGAACTATGACGTAGGGGACAGGGAGCTGTTAGCCGTGGTACAGGCTCTAAAGGTGTGGAGGCACTGGCTTGAGGGGGCTCAACACCCTTTCCTCATTTTGACGGACCACCGTAACCTGGAGTACATCCGGGCGGCGAGGAGGCTGAACCCTCGCCAGGCAAGATGGAGTATGTTCTTGACCAGGTTTACTTTTAAGATCACGTACATCCCTGGGTCACAGAATGGTAAGGCAGATGCGCTGTCTCGGCGGTATGACACGGAGGAGAGGTCCGTGGAGCCCACTCCCATACTGCCTGAGTCGTGTCTGGTGGCACCGGTCGATGCTGAACTCGAGCGGGCGTTACGCACCGACCCTAGTCCACCACAGTGCCCGGAGGGTCGGAAGTACGTTCCGCTCGAGGTTCGGGATCGATTGATCTATTGGGCTCACACGTCACCCTCCTCTGGACATCCGGGTATCGGCCGGACAGTGCACTGTCTTAGTGCCAAGTACTGGTGGCCCACGTTGGCAAGGGATGTGAGGGTTTATGTTTCCTCCTGCTCGGTGTGCGCCCAGTGTAAGGCGCCTAGACATCTGCCTAGGGGTAAGTTGCTACCCCTGCCCGTTCCACAACGACCATGGTCCCACCTCTCTGTGGACTTTATAACAGACCTTCCCCTCTCCCAAGGGAATACTACCATCCTGGTCGTTGTGGACCGGTTCTCTAAGGCCTGTCGTTTGCTCCCCATGCCGGGTCTTCCTACTGCCCTACAAACTGCCGAGGCACTGTTCACCCATGTGTTCCGGCACTACGGGGTACCCGAGGACATTGTGGCTGATCGGGGTCCCCAATTCACCTCCAGAGTCTGGAGAGCGTTTATGGAGCGGTTGGGGGTCTCGGTGAGCCTCACCTCGGGTTACCACCCGGAGAGTAATGGGCAGGTGGAACGCGTAAACCAGGATGTGGGTAGGTTTCTCAGAACATACTGCCAGGACCGGCCGGAGGAGTGGTCAAGGTACGTTCCCTGGGCCGAGATGGCCCAGAATTCCCTACGCCATTCCTCCACTAACCTAACTCCATTTCAATGTGTGTTAGGTTACCAGCCGGTTCTGGCACCCTGGCAGCAGAGCCAGATCGAGGCTCCTGCGGTGGATGAGTGGGCGCGGCGCTCGGAGGAGACTTGGAACGCTGCACACGTCCACCTGCAGCGGGCCCTCCGACGTCAGAAGGCGAGCGCTGATCTCCACCGCAGTGAGGGACCGGTGTACGCACCTGGTGATCGAGTCTGGCTCTCTACCAGAAACCTGCCCCTCCGCCTGCCCTGTCGGAAACTGGGTCGGCGGTTTGTGGGGCCATTTAAAGTCCTGAGAAGGTTGAACGAGGTATGTTATAGATTA